AGATTATTTCAGCAAAGTTCCAGCTCGAATGAAAGAGTTTTAATTTTGGAGCGATTTTCGTCCAAGTGGCCCTTTAATAGTTTTTCTTAATTAAACTTGATTGTGGTTCAGAAGATTTCTTTAGAAACGATGGGGTTTTAAACCTACCTGGTTTTATTTTATAGTTTCATTTTATTTCTTTTTACTTTAATTTGAACATTGAGTCTGGAAATTAAACTATAATTTTCTTAAGATCTCGACTTAACATTTTCAAATTCCACATGCTGTCTTTAAATAAGCTGTTAATATTTTCGTAAGCTTATCTTGATTTATTTGATGCAGTGGGTTTTTATGCTCATTAAAGATCAGGGCCTGGTCGTATGAAGGGGAATAGCGCTGTCCAATGGATAAATCCTTATCCAGTAGATAAGTTGATGCTGTTATCCAATAAATTTCCCTGCTAGCAGAGCATATTTTCCTTTTGTTTTGGTTGAGAGAGAAAAATAGACTCTGCCGATGTAGAGCGTTATTTCTGTCGCGCATGCGTGGCGTAACTTAGCAACGCTGTCATGATTTTGACAGCCGCTCTCGTCAAGCGGTGTTTGGCGCCAAGGTGTGTTACATTTGATCATGCGTGATCCATTGATCGTGAACGGCGGTGTATCAAAGGAAACACTTTACATCGGCAGAGTCTCCTTCCTCCCCGCCTGAAAGAAGGGAGAGAAAGAGAAGAGAGACTCTGCTAGCAGGGAACCAATAAATCTATCCACTGGATATTTTTTCCAGTATTTTGTATTTTGAGCTTTTTTTTTTTTCATCAACTTTGTTTTACGATTGATCACGTATATGTAAATTGCATCAAAGTTCTAACTATCTTCTTTGTTGCCCATGGAAACAACTTGGAAACATGTCATTCAGCTCTCAGAAATAATGATAAAGTGCCACTAACACCTTACTCAATATTTTCAGTATTGATTCTACATGAAGTGAATAGTTGAATGGTAAAATATTTTTGTATAGATTGAGTGACGCATCTTGAAAATATCAAGGTTTATACTTCCAATATGTGATGTCATAGAAGGTTTTATTATAAATATACGAAACGTTTTTAGGGCAGTAATTCATCCTGTATAATAAAACACCATTATCTTGCTCAGGATTTATACAAAGTATATTGCAATTTTTCCCCATAATAATCAATGTTTCGATTTACAAATTATGACAAATCCTTCAAATCCCTTTCAAAAACTCATGAATAATTCATAAGCCTTTGGTCCAATTGGAGCCACCATACACGTCACGTGCATGGACCTTTATACCCGATAAAGTCCTCTTCATTAGTATTCTTTATATAAAGAATACTAATGAGGATGAAACTTTATATAAAGACTCATTGTTATTAGTATTCTTTATATAAAGAATACTAATGTGCACAACCTTATCAGAATAAAGGTGCATCCAAGTTTAGATGAAGACTTAGAGCCTCATCAAGTTCAGTCTCACGTTCGATCATCAACGACCCATAAATTATCGTCAACTAGTGCCCCTGTCTTGAGTTCGGCATGTTGGTTTCAACTTGTGGAAGCCTTTTTTGCACTTACTGCGCATGGCAGTGGCGTACCAACCTCACTGCGCATGACATTGCTGTACAAACGACTATCAAAGTATAAAAGTTAATGTTCGCGAGGTATATGGTCGCTCTACTTCAACCAAAGGGTTGTGAATTATACTTAAAGTTTTTGAAGTTTTTAATAAACTCGCAGATCGTGTTTTATCGGGTCTAAAACCCGATAAAACACTCCTGCTCGTTTATTAAACACTACATAATGACATCACACTCATTAACATATTTATTCTCCCCGTCTCGGGCAGGTAAAGCTTGCAGACCGTTCCTTACTCCCTGGAGATGTAGTAAAGCATGCAGACCCCAATAAATCTAAACAGAAGGGATATATTAGTGATGTGGAAGTTGTGGCGAGCGTTAAAGTACTGGCAGCAAATCAAGTGGTGACAAATGTGAACTGTCGTGAACTTGAGCCATTACAGGTATGTTTTATATTACGTAGCCACCATATAAATGCACTCTTATTTGTTTGCTAGAATTATCTTTACATTTTGAAAATTTTTGAACGTTTTGGACAATTTTGAACATTTTTGTAGATGCATGTTTATATAACTAAAAGTAGAGTTTAAGTTTCTGTGGAACCCAGGTACTCTGTCTGAATTGGCTTGGCGAGCACTAGCAGTAGCCACAGTTTGGGGCTCTGATGGGCCGGCTTGGACAGAGTGCGGGGGTTTCTATATCTATATCTATATATATTTCTATATTTTATGTTTGAAAATTCATTGTAAAGCGTTATAGAGTGTAATATGTGACGCTAATGAAATTCATTAAATTATTATTATTATTATTATTATCTATAATTAAAAGACAGCTTGTATAGTTTGGAGTTGATAGCCCACGATGCCAATGCGTATAGGCTATTGACTCGTAGATTATGAGGGCAAGAGGTTATTGTTTTCGTATAAAATTACTAATAGGTCAAAGAAATGAATACCAACAATATTGAAATTAGGTTTAAATTTTTTTTTTTGCGTAATGTTTTGGTTTTCAAAACTGTTAAATTATGCTAATAGTGGACTATCACTAATACACCACTAGTAGCTCAGCCAATTAGAGTGCAGGATTTGTGATAAACCATTAATACTAAGGTATGTACTGATAAATAGTCATACTAGGGGTCTATCATCAGTGCTGCTCTCTGACTGGATGAACTACAGTGTACCACCAGTAGCAAAAAGTGCCGGCTTTAAAGACCAAAACATTGAATTCAACTTTAATTTAAAACTTGTTTGCATCTTTATATTTGACCGACTAGTCGAATTTGACTAAAACAATTAGTCCTCTTTCCCTCGTTGCCAATGAATAAATAGCTCATTCAGGCTCTCTCGGGCTAATTGCTAAATAGCCTTATAATTAATTCTTTTAAATAACAGGAGTTATTACCAGGAGTTCATGTCACCCTCGGACCATGGTTAGGGTTTGTTAAAGAAGCAAACCAGAGAGTTACGCTGAAGATGAAAAATGGTTCAAGGTAAATATATATCAGTTTACAGTACATCTTAAGTTGAGATTCAGACTTGATTGCGAGGCTTTAGAAGATAATACAGTTTCATGTAATGCAGGGGCGGATCCAGGGGAGGGGTTCAGGGGTTGCTCACCGCTCCCTGCTTTGACTTTGCGCCCCTACTTCAAAGATAACCAATGCTGTTTTTCCCTTTGATTCTAAGGGGTGCACCCAGGGTTTCGTGCTACTCCTTGAAATCCTTGAAAAGTCCTTGAATTGAAAACACATTTTCAAGGGCGCTTGAAAAGCTCTTGAAAATAGGGAAAAACACCAAAACTCCTGGAATACTCCTTGAATTTAATACAAACTTAATGCTATTTCTAACTTTCCTTTAAAAATAAATAACGATTCAAATTGATTGAAGAGTTTCTGGTTGCTTGTTTACTGGTTGGTTGTGTGTCATGATCGTTTTTTATCTAAGCTAGTGGCCCCGGCTGAATTAGCTGCACTGTAACATTGAATCAATAATTAAACCACGTTCTAATACGAAAAACTTTGTCCTTGAAAATCGAATTTTTGTGCTTGAAAAGTGCTTAAAAAGTCCTTGAATTTTGTAACGAAAATGTAGCACAATGAAACCCTGTGCATTCTTCCCTGGGTTAACTTTGTACACAGCAGAACACACATAAAGCACACCCTCCTAACCAATCAAAACACAAGATTTATAACAGCTGTTTTAAAACTCAATTTAAAGGCATTCTTATATTTCATTTCTTTCCCTAGATGTTGCATAGAGGATGAGCAGACTGAAATGTTATATGACATGTCAGATCAAAGAGATGAGGTTTGTATGGCAAAATATCTATAGTATTAGCCGACTATTTATCTTATTTGGTGCCCAAATCACTAATGAGTGACATCAAACATTCGCAAATTCACCAATAATGGTTTCTGTACCTAAAGTCGGTAACCATGGAAACAGCCCATCACCTTAACGTGTCACAACCAGTTGATCAGAAATAGTGACTTATGAATGACGTCACTGCTAAACTGCAGCACTTATTAGCAACGTTAATTTTTCTTTTCATTTTGTGACCCGAAAATCCATAATTTCAAGAGGGAAAATTGCTCCTCAGTTTTGCAATTTTTTCTTCATATCACTTGAAATATTCTCTTTTTGTTTTCACAGGATTCGCCATTTTATTCAGAGGCTTTCTACCCTGGTCAAGTCGTTGCCGGCCCATCTAAAGTATTTAAGGAAGCAAAATGGTTATCCGGCGCTAAGCCTATCATTCACAGTCAGCAACAAATGAGAGGAACAGTAGAGGAAGTATGTTGAGTGTCTTGTATCTTTGCTCGGGCTAGCTGTGCATGCCTGTAGTTTGCAATGTTGTCTTTATAGTTTTGCGTAACTGATGTTTTCCCGCTTTCCAGACCACGTGTCATTCGCTAGAGAATTTTGTTTGTTTAATGGTTGCACATAAGAAGATACATGAATATGGATACGACGATGACACCAGGGAAAAACGTTTGCGCATGCGTGCACTTCAGCACGTTTTCTAAGAATTTTGAAGAGTTTGAGTGAGAAAATAAATGTTTGTTTTCTTCAAGTATACAAAAAAGTTTGAGAGTATACTTTTGTCAGACCAAGATACTGTATTAACAAACACAATATGAAAGAATTAATCTTAAGTTTCAAGCATGGACAATGAGTTTTGGCATTTTGTGAAGTCCAATTTATAAGGCATGTTTGAAAGTCAAATTTACTTATGTTTTGACTAATTTGCATACGGATTCAGAGCATGCGCAGACGTTTTTCACTCGTGTCTACAACGATACGACGATACGACTCAAACTACTTAAGAGAATGGCATGTGATCTCAATTGGAAAGTATTACAACAATTGTAAAGAGGTTTAGTGTCCTCTTAAAGCGCGTGTTCTCTGCCGATAAGTTAAAAACGAAGGCTCATATCTCCAAATAGTGTCAGAGCTTAAAACGGTAAGTACATTTTTCAGGTGAAGGTCGTCTCTTGTGAACTCAACTGGCAGATTTGCGGTGCTTGCCCTGGAGAAGAGTTTGGGGTCTTGATCCAACCAGACGCTACTGTGAATGAAGATCAGCTATCCAGGTATTGAAGATTTATTTTTCCTTTCCTCTCTCCTCTCCTCTCCTCTTCTCTCCTCTCCTCTCCTCTCCTCTCCTTTGCAATCTTCCTCTATATTCCAAACTTCATACACGTTATTTATATACCAGGCTCAAAGTGGTCAACCATTATCGCCATGCCAGCATTCAAATCGGCGATAAAGCATTCTACACCGTAAAAGCCAAGGACCTTGAAATGACTGCCAATAGTCAAGAAGGAAAGCCTTCCTCTCTTGCCCCCCTCCCCAATGGACAACGAGCAGACGCTGGGCAGGTAGGGAACAGTTTGTCTCCCTTATCAGACCATGTCCCTGAAGAAGAAGTCTCGTGGCATGAAGAAAATAAAAAATCCCACCACCAAGGAGTTGTTTCCGATTCCACCGATGCTGATGACGATGGAGACGGCGGTGAGCACACGGGACATAAATCCAAAGGTGCTCACTCACAGGGCCCTAAACACGACTCCTCTACGGGGGCACCCTCTATGAGGTTCCCAGTGAAGCGAAGGCGTAAGCGGGCGAAGCGAAAACGCAAACCATTGCCTCACATGGAGGTGAACGTGGGAGATAAGGTTTGTGTAGAGATTACATCTACTTGTACCACTGTTGACGTCATATGGCAGGACAGATCCAAAAACACAAGGATCCCATCAACTGATCTTACACCAGTATTTCATCTGGACGAGCATGAGTTCTTTCCTGGGGACTATGTCAACGACAAACGAGGTGCATTTTATAAACAAGATTATGAAATATTTCAATCAATAATTTTCTATATATTTGATATACATATAACGCGCGCGCCGATTGGCTGGCTAGCGTGTTTATATCAGAGTACAGAGAGTACTCTCGCTCAAAATCGTTCAAAAATATCTTATAAAAGCAATATTAAACGGACGCGGTAAAAGTGGAATTTTTTCCTTGCGTTTCCACACTACGGCGGATTCCGAGCAAGCGCGTAGCAATGAAGACAGTGGCAAATTCCATTGACTTGTGGTCGTGAATTTAAGTGTCTAACCTTTGTCATTGCAATGCTTTGGTTTACAGTGACAGCCGATGCGACTGTATATGGAACAGTCCTGACCACAAACTGCGCCTCACGCACGTGTGACGTCAAGTGGTTCACCCGAGAAGGCACCGAACTCTCTATCGAACGTGACGTCAGTGTCTACGACATCGCCGAGCACACGGACTTTGTGTTTAATTCGGGGGATATTGTGGTTCGCATGGTCCCCCCTGACTATTGTACGTCCCCCCTGGCTGCAGCCCCAACGCCTTCGACACCATGTGTTGGTCAGGTATGTTTGGTACTAATCATTTTTCTACCCTCTCCTCCCTTGAGGGTAAACGTTTTGACTTTACTTTTACTTTTTAAACATTGAATAAGTTTAAAAAGACCACCTCAAGCGCAAACCGCCGCCTGGCTCGCATAGTTGGCAAGAGTGTTGGTCTGTCGTAGGGAAGGTCGTGGTTCAAGCCTCAGCCGGACTAACACTCAGGGTCTTAAAAAAACTGAGGAGAAGGTGCTGCCTTTTCAATTACAACTACAAATGGCTAGACCTTCGAGCCTTCTCGGATAAGGACTTAAAACCGCAGGCCCCGTCTGTCTTCAGTATTTAACAGTTATTCGCCGAAGGCGAAGTGAATATCGGGGAATAATGATCAAAACGAAGTTGAGGTTATTATTCTCGATATTCACTGAGCCTGAGGTGAATAATTGTTTTAGTATAAATACACAGGTGATTCTTTTAAAACAAGAAGAAAAAAAGAAGATAAAAGACACATTTAAAATTAGGAACAGCAACAAAGCGGCTGGCCGCCATTTTGGATTATCGCTGGAGGTGAATATCGTGTGTGAGTTTCTCGACCAATCAGCGCGCGAGATTTTCAATAATCAACTGTATTTATACTAAACAACCTCGTATGAGGCTGGTGACGACCATGTTCAATGTCTGTGCTAATACTAAAGGGCCCACAGTTTTGTGGTAAAATAAAATGATAAAATAAAATAAGAATGAAATAAACTGAAGATATTGTTTGTTTTAGGTGATGAATGTAGACGAGCATGGAAACGTGTTTATTCGGTGGGTGGATGAAACAGAGGCGCACGTGATACCACAAGAACTTTACAAAGTTGACACCGAGGTGTGCATATTTTCTGTTTTGCCGCCATATTGCTCCTTGCTTTGCCTTGCCTTGCCTTGCCTTGCCTTGCCTGCCTCGCCTCGCCTCGCCTCGCCTCGCCTCGCCTCGCCTCGCCTCGCCTTGCCTTGCCTCGCCTCGCCTCGCCTTTCTCTCCTTTCTTTTCATTTTCTTTGCATTCCTTTCATATTCCCTACCTTGCCTTGCTCAGCTGTGCCTTGCCTCGCATTGTCTTACCTTGCCTAGTCCAGAGCTGGACCCACTCTTATCGATGCGTGCGCGGCGGAGACGAACCGAGTAGCGAAAATAGACTGGCAAGAATTTGTAAATTTTTTTTGTGTTTCGTGCGCGCGCGGTATTTCCTTTTGATTTTGAGATATAAGTTAAACAGTTAGCGAGAAAAGTGGTTCCAGTTCTTGACTATAACTTCCGTGCCTTGTCTCGCCTTGTCTCGCTCTTTTCCCTCGCCCAATATACCGTTTTCTTAAGGTTGCGTGCGCATCCAACTTGACGGGCCACAAAACTGAAATAAGCAAATTCAGTAAAATTGAGAAGACAGTTTTATATTTAAAGAGGAGAATAATCAATTTTATGAATTCTTATCGAAAACAATTTCATAGCAATGCATGATAATACTCGTGTTCTGGTGTCGTGGCCCGTCGAGCTCCTTAGATTTGGACGCGCACGCAACCTTGAGAAAACGGTGTATTAACCTTATTTTATATCTATTCTGTTATCATAGGACGATGATCAATCGGTTGAATACGGAGATGACTCACAAAACAACAGCGAGGACGAATGGGAAACTGCTAGTGACGTCAGCAGTGACGAGGCATCACCTGACCATGATGACGTCATCATAGATAACTCATCTCCGCAGGTTGATGGAGAAGGAAGAGGAGAAGAGAATGACACAGAAAATAAGGAAGCAGTTGATTTGAATGCATTAAACGAGATTTTGTCCAATAGGAATCCAGGTAAGAAAACGTACGAGCTTGTGTGATTGGCTGAAGACAATGTTGACAGTTTTTATATGGCATATCCTTATTGGTTAATATCATGTCCAGATTATCCAATAGAAATCCCAGATAATTTAACGTTACACAAAATGTTGCAATAAGTTTAATAGACTTTTACCTTGGCCTTAGTGTTTTCCCATTTCTGACAACATGTCATTCTCTAGAATATCATTTCTTTGTTTAACGGTTGCGCATGAAAAGACACGTGAATATAGATACAACTGAATCTCTCAAGAGAATAACACATGGTCTGGAATGGGAAAACATTAAGCCTAAGCCAAGGAGGTCTATTGTTTAACATATATATATATTTTTTTCAACATTTTAAATACTTAATGCATAATATTATTTTCCAACATTTAACAATATCTAAAAAAATTCGTTTATAATGTTATCTCATCTGTCAACAAATGCACATTATTTCAGCCTTCATGATTCTTGGTGCTGTCCCAGAAGACCATATTTTCAAGAGTACTATTTTCGACCCTGGTAACCGCCGCAAAATCATGTCGGTGATTCAAAGAGAACTTAGTCTTCTGCATAGTTCTCTGCCATCTGGTATATTAGTGAGAAGCTTTGAAGATAGAGTGGTAAGTAATGAAGTCCTGCTTGTCCTTGTGTCCTTGTATCCTTGTGTCCTTGTCCTCATCCTCTCCTCGTCCTCTCCTTGTCCTCTCCTCATCCTCTCCTCGTCTTCTCCTCGTCCTCTCCTCGTCGTCGTCGTCTTCTCGTCCTCTCCTCGTCATCATCGTCTTCTCGTCCTCTCCTCGTCCTCTCGTCGTCTTTTCTCCGTCCTTCTCTCGTCCTCTCCGCGTCCTCTCCTCGTCCTCTCCTCGCTCTCTCCTCGCCCTCTCCTCG